AGGAGCAGGAAGGCTGACGTTTTGGGCCTAGACCCTTCTTCAGAAATTTCTTCTTCATTTCTGAAGAAGGGTCTAGGCCCAAAACGTCAGCCTTCCTGCTCCTCTGATGCTGCTTGGCCTGCTGTGTTCATTCAGCTCTACACCTTGTTATCTCAGATTCTCCAGCATCTGCAGTTCCTACTATCCCTGTGGAATACCACTGGTCACAGTTCTCCATTTTGAGAAACTCCCTTCCACTACAACTCTGTCTCCTGTTGCCCAGCCAGTTCTCTATCCATCTAGCTAGTACACCCTGGACCCCATACGACTTCACTTTCTCCATCAGCCTACCATGGGGAACCTTATCAAACGCCTTACTGAAGTCCATGTATATGACATCTACAGCCCTTCCCTCATCTATCAACTTTGTCACTACCTCAAAGAATTCTATCAAGTTGGTAAGACACGACGTTCCCTGCACAAAACCATGCTGCCTATCACTAATAAGCACATTTTCTTCCAAATGTAAATAGATCCTATCCCTCAGTATCTTCTCCAGCAGCTTCCCCACCACTGACGTCAGGCTCACCGGTCTATAATTTCCTGGATTATCCTTACTATCCTTCTTAAACAAGGGGACAACATTAGCAAATCCCCTGTCCTCTGGGATCTCAACCGTGCTCAGGGATGCTACAAAGATATCTGTTAAGGCCCCAGCTATTTCCTCTCTCGCTTCCCTCAGTAACCTGGGATAGATCCCATCGGACCTGGGGACTTGTCCACCCTAATGCCTTTTAGAATACCCAACACTTCCCCCCTCCTTATGCCAACTTGACCTAGAGTAATCAAACATCTATCCCTAACCTCAACATCCATCATGCCCCTCTCCTCGGTGAATACCGACGCAAAGTACTCATTAAGAATCTCACTCATTTTCTCTGATTTCTCGCATAACTTCGCTCCTTTGTCCTTGAGTGGGCCAACCCTTTCTCTAGTTACTCTCTAGCTCCTTATGTACCAACAAAAGGCTTTGGGATTTTCCTTAACCCTGTTTGCTAAAGATATTTCATGACCCCTTTTAGCCCTCTTAATTCCTCGTTTCAGATTGGTCCTACTTTCCCGATATTCTTCCAAAGCTTCGTCTGTTTTCAGTTGCCTAGACCTTATGTATGCTTGCTTTTTCCTCTTTGCTAGTCTCACAATTTCACCTGTCATCCATGGTTCCCTAATCTTGCCCTTTTCTATCCCTCATTTTCACAGGGACATGTCTGTCCTGCACTTTAATCAATTTCTCTTTAAAAGCCTCCCACATATCAAATGTGGATTTACCCTCAAACAGCTGCTCCCAATCCACATTCCCCAGCTCCTGCCGAATTTTGCTATAGTTGGCCTTCCCCCAATTTAGCACTCTTCCTTTAGGACCACTCTCGTCTTTGTCCATGAGTATTGTAAAACTTAGGGAATTGTGATCACTATTCCTAAAGTAATCCCCTACTGAAACTTCAACCACCTGCCCGGGCTCATTCCCTAACACCAGGTCCAGAATGTCCCCTTCCCGAGTTGGACTATTTACATACTGCTCTATAAAACCCTCCTGGATGCTCCTTACAAATTCTGCTCCATCTAAACCCCGAACACGAAGTGAATCCCGGTCAATGTTGGGAAAGTTAAAATCTCCCATCACCACCAGCCTGTTGCTCCTACATCTTTCCAGAATCTGTCTACATATTTGTACCTCTATCTCACGCTCATTGCTGGGAGGCCTGTAGTACAGCCCCAACATTGTTTCTGCACCCTTCCTATTTCTGAGCTCTGCCTGTATTGCCTCACTGCTCGAATCCTCCAAGGTGCCCTCCCTCAGCACAGCTGTGATATCCTCTTTGACCAGTAATGCAACGCCTCCACCCCTTTTACCTCCCTCTCTATCCTGCCTGAAGCATCTATATCCTGGGATATTTAGTTGCCAATCTTGCCCTTCCCTCAACCAAGTCTCAGTCATAGCAATAACATCATACTCCAAGGTACTAATCCAAGCCCCAAGTTCATCTGCCTTACCAACTACACTTCTCGCATTAAAACAAATGCACCTCAGACCACCTGTCCCTTTGCGTTCATCATCTGCTCTCTGCCTACTCTTCCCCTTAGTCACACTGACTTCATTATCTAGTTCCTTACAGGCTTTAGTTACTATCTCCTTACTGTTCACTAACCTCCTCATTTGGTTCCCATCCCCCTGCCACATTCGTTTAAACCCTCTCCAACAGCATTAGCAAAAGCACTCCCTAGGACATTGGTTCCAGTCCTGCCCAGTCCTGCCCACACGATAAAAAACAGAAAAAGAAAAGCCTTACCTTATCAATACACCACAGAGTTTTTTTTTGGTTAGAGGAGGAGGGTGGTTGGGAGACACTACATGTGTAGTGTCTTGTGTTTAGTCACTGCCCAAATATATCAGTTCACTCACCTTCCCAGAGCACAATTCGACCGCTCCCACTCAGCTCCACTGCCGAAATGAAGAACTTACCTTCCCGGCAGCCCCTTGGTCCTCGCTCTCACCGCTCCCGCCACTGCTGCAAAAATGGAGGCCGCTGATTCCACGAGGTAAGTATTTAAATGGGAAACTTACCTCCTGGCAGCCCCCTGGTCCTCACTGTCACTGCTCCCGCTGCTGCTGCAAAAAATGGAGCAATGAAGTTTATGAAATAAATAGAAGTATATAGAGTTAATGGTAGTTATCTTTTCCATAGGATGGGGGATTTCAAGACTAGGGAGCACAATTTCATACAACAAACAAGAGTAGGGCTTATACAATTAATAGTAGGGCCTTGGGCAGTGTTGTAGAACAGAGGGACCTAGGGGTGCAGGTACATAATTCTTTGAAGTTTGCATCACATATAGACAGTGTGGTTAAAAAATATGAGAGGTTTAAAAAAGACATAAGAGGCAAATTTTTTACATAGAGGGTGGTTCATGTATGGAATGAACTTCCTGAGGAAGTGGTGGATGTGGGTACAATTACAATGTTTATAAGACATTTGGATAGATACATGAATAAGAAAGTTTTGGCGGGATATGGGCCGGGAGCAGGCAGGTGGGGCTAGTTTAATTTGGGATTATGCTCGGCATGGCCTAGTTGGACTGAGGGGTCTGTTTCTGTGCTGTGTGACTCAATGGCTCTATGATTCTATAAGATTTCTATAAGAAATCCCTCCATACCTGGGATCAACCTCATGAACCATCATTAGTCCATCTTCCTTGTTCTTTTTCCGCAGCTGTCCAAATATGTTATATAGTACTGACTGGCTCTCAGAAGGCAATTTATATTCACTGTGTTACGTTGGAAATATGTTCATTGATCCCATGTAGACAAACATCACAGTTGATTAGTGTACAACATATAGTAGTGAGATTAATCACCAGTTAATCTGTTCTCAGTTGCGTTGGTGTAAGATCGATAATAGGCAGGACATCAATCAAGGTACAGAAGATCGAAAGCTCGCTGTTCTAATTGAACAACTTTTAATCTCCAGGAAAAACATCAAGAAGACAGTGAGAGAGAACTTATGGTTGAAGAAGAGATGCTGAGTAGTTTCCCAGGTACACTATGTTTCAAAATTCAGCCAATTTTTGCATCCAATGTGAATATATAAACAAGTGAATTTAACAGTCTTGATAATGCACAGAAATACACAAAAGCTTCAATTTTTTAAACTCAATTAATTCATAAATTTGGAATTAAAAGACAGTCTCAGGAATGGTGACCTTGAAACTGTCATCAGTTGTTGTAAAAATCTTTTCAGTTCCCAGATGTCCTACAGAGAAGGAAATTTACCTGGTCTCACCTAGACGTGACTCTCGATTTGCAGCAATTTGGTTGACTCTGAAATAGCTTACAAGCCACTCAGTTGCCCCAAACCACTACAAAGTCAGAAAGGATTGCACCTGGATAGACCACCTGGCATCATTCTAGGCACATTGAATCCATTCCACATTAGAAAGTCCTCCTTAATAACTTTGGGGTCTTGTGCCAACCTTGTGAGCAATTTCTCACAGACTGGTCAAACTGATGTACTGCACCATACCTTACAGATTGTGTCCCAAACACCACCTTTACGATCCTGTTCCACCTGAGTTGATGGTACGTTGTTATACTGTTGGGAGGGAGGCACACAGGAAGTCCTCAACGTTAACTCTGTACTCTCATGGAATCTCATTGCATCAGGTCAAACATGGGCAAGGAAACCTCCTGCTGATTAACTGATTTACCCTGAGCTGATGAATCAGTGCATCTCCAAGTTGAATACTATTTGGAAAGGTGAAGCAGCAGGTGCGGCAAAGGCATAGAATGTAGTCTGGGTGGGAACTTCAAAGTCTGTCACCAAGCGTGGTAGGGCAGCATGATCTTTGACTGGGATTGTCAAATAATAAAGCTGCTAAATGAGGTTTGTGACACAGGGCTTTCTCTGTTGAAGGATGTTGTAATCTCTTTGGAGCAAGTAAGTAAATGGATTTGCTATCTGGGAATAATATGATGTAACACTCACTTTTCAACTTTCCCAGTCCTTGGAACAATGTTGTGAGTTCAAACTGAAAACCTGTCTCATTCACTGAATCATTTACCTTGGTGTGGTAATCTGTCCTTTGATTTCTAAGCCTATGCTTCCTGGCCCTTAATGTTCCTGAGCTTCTGGGCTATGCAGTTGGCTGCTGTGGGGGTGGAGGCATCTCCCATTAAAGTCCTTTGCGCTTCCCAAATCTACCCATTCTCAAAGTCTTTGTTGATTCTCAAGTAATTCCTGTAAGGTCTTATTTCCTTTCCCTTCCTTCTTTCAAGATTGCTTTGTCACTTAACCTTTAGAGGTTGTTGCCATCTATGCATTTTTCAAACTCTTAGCAACAATTTTGTAGAATCTCAGAATCCCCACAGTGTGGGAGAAGGCTATTTGGCCCATCGAGTCCACACTGGCCCTCTGAAAGGCATCTCACCCAGACCCACCCCCTATCCTATCCCTGCATTTCCCAGGGCTAACCCGTCTAGCTTGCACACTCCTAGACACTACCACACAATTTAGCATGGCCTGCATATCTTTGAACCGTTGGAGGAAACCCACGCAGGCACAGGGAGAACGTGCAAACTCCACACAGTCACTCAAAGCTGGGATTGAACCCAGGTCCCTGGCACTATGAGGCAGCAGTGCTAACCACTGCTGCTCAAATTTGTCTGCTTCCACCAAGGGTTGGGATCGAGGTGATCATGAAAAGGTCTCTGGTATCAAGGTTTGGTCTGTCCTCTGTGTCTGGCTCAGTTTGTTTCAGTCCCCTTCATGCTGGTTCCTGACAAAATAAGTCCAACTCTTCATTCACACAATGTGTATGACTATAGTCCTAGTTAGAACCAGGTCTCCGTCAGTCTCTTAGTTAAACTTATGCCATGCTTACATCATCAGCCACATTAGTAACTGATTCACATTAACCCCTTACTCGACCGTTGGCCTTCTCTTTGTTTCATTTTTGGAATTGAATAATCGCTTAAGTTGTTTCATTCCACTGTTTACTGTTGCCGAATTGTTTCAGGGATGGAGAAGTTATTTTCGAGAAAGGGTGTGAACGTTTCTAGTGAGGAGAGGCTTGTGTCACTGCAGAGTCAATTGGAGTCACTGACCAGTGAAAACCAAGAGCTACAAGGGAGGCTACAGGTAACAAACCCTCATTCCGTGGACCTTGATATTGAACCTCGCACAATAGGTGAGGGGATTGAAGAGAAGAGTTTTAAAATGAAGGGGGAGATGATGTGTGACCAACATACTAATTATGCACTTTTTGACCTTTTCAAATGTCATGAAGAGATGGGTCATTTCAGTCCTGTGTTTAAATTGAGATTCTCTATTAAGAATCTGACAGAGGGAAGAAAGGTGGCAACATTTAAGATGTGCAGAAGAACAGCTCATTGGGGTTGGAATGGTGTTTGGGCTGTGCAAATCAGTCTTGCAGTAATTGTACCTGTGATACCATGATAAAGAAAGATTTGTTTTTATATAGCACTTTTCATTGACCATCTCAGAGTGCTATACTGCCAATGTAGTATGAACAATGGAATAATAAAATGAAGTGCGATGGAGGCAGTTTCAATTAAGTAATTCAAAGGGGCTTTAGATGATTAGTTAAATAGAACATAATATGGAGGGTTGTGGGAACCAGGTAGGAGGATGGCACTAAATCCCTCCGTTCACTTGGAGAGTCAGTGCAGACACAATGGGCCAAATGGCCGCCTTCTGCACAGTAACGATTCTATGATTCTGTGAAGTACTTTATGAGTGTAGTCATCATTGTAATGTGGGAAATACGGTAACCAACATGCACCATCAAGCTCCCACCAGCAGAAATGTGATCACGACTGGATAATCTGTTTTTTTTTGTAATGTTGTTTGAAGGATGGTCAGAATACCTTGGATAACTCGCTTGCTGTTCTTTGACATTGTGCAATGGGTTATTTTACATCTACCTGTGCAGGCAGGTGAAGGTTCAGTTTGACATCTCATCTAAAAGACAACACCTTGAACTGCAAAGTACTCCCTCAGTGCTGCACAAGAGTATCAGCCTTGATTTCACTCGATCCCTGAGTGGGACTTGAACCCAGAGGCAAGCATCCTGTCAACTGAGCCATGGCTGACACTTGCAATATTAAGCCAAATGTTACCACTAATACCAGAGTCAGATTAAAAATTCCCAGCCAGGATAACTAACACATAGTGCATGATACGTTACAAAGTGAATTACTAATTGACATTTTGCACCTTCAATTTCATCACTCTTGCAATTTTTTTTCAGGAGATAGAATCTTTGCAGAAAGGAGAAAATGAAGGGGAATCATCAGGAAGCCTAGATTTTATCCCTGTTTTTCTGTATGATTCCTTGCAAATGGAATTTGAGAAACTGAAGGAACAGTATGAACAAGCCCAGGCTACAATCAGGGCTAAGGTTGTCTCACCCTCTTCTGACAAACTAATCTCAGTGGAAGCATACGAACAACTAAAGGTGGAATATGAGCAAGAAGTTCAAAGGTTACAAGCAGATCTTGATGGGCTCAAGGCCAACTCCTACTCAAAGGGAGGAGATCCATCCATAGGTGGGGAGTCAGAGGAGAAAGACATGGCAGAACAAGATGTTCAGGAACTCATTAAAAGACTGAAGGAGACCCAGGACAAATATGTGGCAGCTGTGACTGAGATTCAACAACTGGAAGAGCAGATCCAATCAGGAATTCTTTCTGTGAAAGAAAACGAAGCCAAGGGCAACTCAGAGACATTAAAAACAATCCCTGGAAATGAGCTAGAGAGTGTTGAGATGGAGCTCCTGCAAGCAGGTAAAGCTGAAGGAGAAGAAGAAAAGAAAGTGAGAGCACTGGAGAAAAAGGTGAATGAAATGGAGAAGCTTCTGTCTCAAAGTATCCCTTTTGAGGAGTACAATGAAATGCAAATGTCACTAAACACCTCGCTTCAAGAAATTTCCAAAGAGAATTCCCTGCTGATAGAAAGATGCACCAAGGCAGAAGATGAACTTGAGGATCTGAAGAGAAGCCATGTTGGGTCCACTGAAGATGGAATTGGATCTTCCAATGAAGCCAATGAACAACTTGAAGAACTGAGCAGAATCCACAGTGAATTGCAGGAAAAATGCAGAGAGCTTCAAGTCAAATATAACAAGAAAGTTGAAGAACTCGAGTCCACACAATCTTTGTACATCCCAAAGAAGGAGCATGAAGAGGTGAAGGATAAGTTGAGTAAATCCCTCAGCGAAGCCAACAAGCAGCTCTCTGATTTAAAGCAAAGGCACAATGCAATCCAAAAAGAGATCACAAGGCTACAAGATGAGGTAGAACATCAGAGGATGAGCTCCGTAACATTGGATGACCATGTGAAAATGAAGGAATCGCTTGAGAAGTCTGTGCAGGATACCAAAAGAATGTTGATCAATGTGCAGAATGAATTGGCCATGAAGGAAAAGGAGACTTCCCAGCAACAGGAAGAAATGGTGGCAATGAGAGGCCAAACCATTCTAAAAGAAGAGCACGAAAAGATCAGCACATCGCTGAAGGCAGAGGTAAATTCTTTAATGATTAAATTAAACGATCTGACCAAAAAGCATGAGAAGACTTGCACTGAGGTATTCCGAGTACAGAGGGAGGCACTCTTCATGAAGAGTGAGAAACAGAATGCAGAGGAACAGCTGGCCGCTGTGCAGAAACAGTACAACGAATTAAAGACTGAGTCAACGAAGATCATTGAATTGCACAAACAAATTGAGGACTCCGCTGGTCTTGTGAAGGAGAAGGATAGGAAGGTATTGCAAAATTACAGTCTTTTGTGTTGTATAATTAATATTAATATTTCTGATCACTCTTAGATGCTTTTGCTCTGCATTCTATGATCTAATTACCAAGCTTCTTTAGTGTCATCGCTCAGTGATGTGTGGAATGATGCTGGCCTCTTAGCAAATGAAACATCATTCCTTCCAGCGACCAAGTGAAATCTATCCAGTCATGGGCCATCTGTATTGATTTACCCATTTGTATAATGTTACCAGTTAATCTCACGGATTCTTGTGGCAGAACGGTAATGTATCTACTTCTGGGCTACAAGGCCTGGGTTCAGGTGCTGCCTGCTCCAACGATGTGTCTGAACAAGTTAATATAAAAATACCTACGGTGAATCTCAAAACAGCGCAGAGTTCCCCTGCTCTATCACAGGCATTTTAATCTACTGTTTTGGGAACATTTCCCAAAACCACATTGCCTTTGTCACACTCGCTGTTCTTTCAAGAGTCTGGTAGAATCACTCTTTAATTGTGCTTTGTTCCTGTGCAGTACCCTATTTGCTCTGTTGTAAATTGCTCTAAGATCAACTGCTGAAGGTAAGTTGTTGTTGTAGCTGAGGTATTTCAAGTTACTGTAAACACTAGAGAGCTATGGTGGTCTTGTGATCCAGTAGTAGCATCCCAGCCTATGGGCCCGAGGTTCTGGGTTTGAGTCCCATGTGGAACTGTTGGCCATGGTAGGTCTATTCAGAATGTGGCAGACAGGTTGATTGTCAGCCTATAATTCCTTCCACTATTCCTGACTACAGGCAGCAATGAGGGAAAGTTTCCTGGTTAGCCATTCTGCAATGGTTTACCCATAAATATGGACCACTCCAGTGGAAGTTCATGGCACCACTCTGTCTGTCTATTCGAGTGGATGATTTGAAGAAGCTCATGGGAGTTTGTCCAGAAATCCAGCCTGCACAAAATAATTAAGGATAAGAATGGCCATTCATCCCATCATATTAGAACATAAGAACATAAGAACGAGGAGCAGGAGTAGGCCATCTGGCCCCTCGAGCCTGCCCCGCCATTTAATAAGATCATGGCTGATCTTTTTGAGACTCAGCTCCACTTACCCGCTCACTCACCATAACCCTTAATTCCTTTACTGTTCAAAAATTTATCTAGCCTTGCCTTAAAAACATTCAGCGAGGTAGCTTCAACCGCTTCACTGGGCAGGGAATTCCACAGATTCACAACCTTTTGGGTGAAGAAGTTCCTCCTGACCTCAGTCCTACATCTGCTTCCCTTTATTTTGAGGCGATGCCCTCTAGTCCTAGTTTCACCTGCTAGCGGAAACAACCTCCCTGCCTCTGCCTTATCTATTCCCTTCATAATCTTATATGTTTCTATAAGATCTCCCCTCATTCTTCTGAATTCCAATGAGTATAATCCCAGTCTACTCAGTCTCTCCTCATAATCCAACCCTCTCAACTCTGGAATCAACCGAGTGAATCTCCTCTGCACCCCCTCCAGTGCTAGTATATCCCTTCTCAAGTAAGGAGACCAAAACTGCACACAGTACTCCAGGTGTGGCCTCACCAGGACCCTATACAGCTGCAGCATAGCCTCCCTGTTTTTAAACTCCATCCCTCGAGCAATGACAGACAAAATTCCATTTACCTTTTTAATTACCTGCTACACCTGCAATCCTACTTTTAGTGATTCATGCACAAGGACACCCAAGTCCCTCTGCACAGCAGCGTGCTGCTATTTTTTACCATTTAAAACATAGTCCATTTTGCTGTTATTCCTATCAAAATGGATGACCTCACACTTATCAACATTGTAATCCATCTGCCAGACCTTTGCCCACTCACTTAAACTATCTGTATCCCTCTGCAGACTTTCAGTGTCTTCTGCACACTTTGCTATACCACTCACCTTAGTGTCATCTGCAAATTTTGACACACCACACTTAGTCCCCAACTCCAAATCATCTATGTAAATTGTAAACAATTGTGGTCCCAACACTGATCCCTGAGGCACACCACTAGCCACTGACCACCAACCAGAAAAACACCCATTTACCCTTACTCTTTGCTTTCTACTGGTCAACCAATCCTCTATCCATGCCAATACATTACCTGTAATACCTTGCAACTTTATCTTATGTAGCAGCCTTTGGTGTGGCACCTTGTCAAATGCCTTCTGGAAATCCAGATACACCACATCCACAGGTTCCCCATTGTCCACCATGCAAGTAATGTCCTCAAAGAATTCCACCAAATTAGTTAAACATGACCTACCCTTCATGAACCCATGCTGGGTGCTCCCAATGGGACAATTTATATCCAGATGTCTTGCTATTTCTTCCTTAATGATAGATTCAAGCATTTTCCCCACTACTGAAGTTAAGCTAACTGGCCTATAGTTACCTGCTTTTTGTCTACTTCCTTTTTTAAACAGTGGCGTCACATTGGCTGTTTTCCAATCTGCGGGAACCACCCCAGAATCCAGTGAAGTTTGGTAAATAATTACTGGTGCATTTCCTATTTCCCCCATCACTTCTTTTAGTACCCTGGGATACATTTCATCAGGGCCAGGAGACTTGTCTACCTTTGGCCCCATTAGCTTGCCCAGCATTGCCTCCTTAGTGATAATGATAGTTTCTACGTCCTCACCTGCTATAACCTTCTTGCCATTAGTTTTCCGCATGTTATTTGTGTCTTCCACTGTGAAGACCAACACGAAGTAACTGTTTAAGGTATCGGCTATTTCCTCATTCCCAGTTATTAAATTGGCCTTCTCATCTTCTAAAGGACCAATATTTACCTTCACCACTCTTTGACGATTTACATATTTATAGAAACTTTTGCTGCCAGTTTTTATATTCTGAGCTAATTTACTCTCATAATCTATCTTACTTTTCTTTATAACTTTTTTTGTGGCTTTCTGTTGACCTTTAAAGATTTCCCAGTCTACTAGTTTCCCACTACTCTTTGCTTTTTTGTATGTGTTTTTTTTTCAGTCTGATACTTTCCTTTATTTCCTTAGACATCCATGGCTGACTCTCTCTTTTCCTACAGTTCTTCCTTATCACTGGAATATACTTCTGCTGAGCACTGTGAAAAATTGTTTTGAAAGTCCTCCACTGTTCCTCAATTGACCCACCATAAAGTTTTTGCTCCCATTCTACCTTAGCTAACTCCTTCCTCATTCCTTCGTAGTCTCCTTTGTTTAAGCACAGGACATAGGTACTGGATTTAACCTTCTCACGCTCCATCTGTATTTTAAATTCGACCATACTGTGATCGCTCCTTCCGAGAGGATCCCTAACTGTGAGATTATTAGTTATTCCTGTCTCATTACACAGGACTAGATCTAGGATAGCTTGCTCCCTCGTAGGTTCCATTACATATTATCGTGGATGCATTCTATGAACCCCTCCTCAAGGCTGCCATGACCAACCTGGTTTGACCAATCGAAATGTAGATTAAAATCCCCCATAATAATTGCTGTACCATTTTTACATGCATTAGCTATTTCTATGTTTATTGCCCGCCCCACCACCATGTCATTATTTGGTGGCCTATAGACCACACCTATCAGTGAATTCTTCTCCCTGCTATTCCTAATTTCCATCCAAATGGATTCAACGTTTTGTTCAGTAGAACCTATATCACCTCTCACTACCACCCTGATATCATCCTTAAAAAATCAGAGCAACACCACCTCCCTCACCTTCCTGTCTGTCCTTCCGAACAGTTTGATACCCCTGGATATTTAACTCTCAGTCATGACCATCCTGTAACCATGTCTCTGTAATGGCCACTAAATCATACCCATTTGCCATGATTTGCACCATCAACTCATCCACCTTGTTTCAAATGCTCCGAGCATTCAGATAAAGTGCCCTTATGCCAGTTTTTGCACCTTTTTGGGCCCTATTACCTCCATTACTAACAGCTCTGGAGTTCTCCTTCCCTTTAACTTTTTTCCTAATTTTCAATGGAGTTGAAGCTTCCTCATCACCTGCTAACCTGCTGCTTTGCTTTACATTAATTGTTATTCTCCCTCTACGCTCACTTCTCCCTTCCCTCCTACTTACTAGTTTAAAGCCCTATTAACCACCCTATTTGCCCTTTTCGCCAGAACACTGGACCCGGCCCTGTTCAGGTGGAGTCCATCCCAGCGGTATAGATCCCTCCTGTCCCAGAACTGATGCCAGTGCCCCATGAAAAGGAAACCCTCTTTCCCACACCACTTTTTTAGCCACGTGTTTACTTCCCTGATCCTTGCCTCCCTATGCCAATTTGCACGTGGCTTGGGCAGCAATCCAGAGATTATGACCCTTGAAGACCTGTTTTTTAATTTTGTTCCTAGCTTTGCATAATCCTGAAACAGGTCTTTTTTCCTAGTTCTGCTTATGTTGTTGGTACCTGCATGGACCACAACAACTGGATCCTCCCCCTCCCTCTCTAGTATCTTCTCAAGCCGGTCAGAGATGTCTCACACCTGGCACCAGGCAGGCAACACACCATGTGGGATTCTCTATCCTGCTCGCAAAGGATACTGTCTATCCCCCAATAATGGAATCCCCTACAACTACAATCTGTCTTTTTGCTCCCCCCTCTTGAATGGCCTCCTGGACCATGGTGCCATGGTCAGTTGATTCATCCTCCCTGCAGCCCTGTTCCTCGTCCACGCAGGGAGAAAGTGCCTCATACCTGTGGGACAATGTCAAGGGCTGCGGCTCCTGTGTTCCTGTCTGCAGGGTCCCTCTACCTGCCTCACTCGCAGTCACACACTGCTGTCCCTGCCTGCCGATCGAATTAACATTAGTTAATCTACCAGGTGTAACTGCCTCCTGGAACACAGTATCCAGGTATTTCTCCCCCTCCCGGGTGTGGCGCAGTGTTTGGAGTTTGGATTCCAGCTCATCAATTTTGAGCCGGAGCTCCTCAAGCAGCCAACACTTGCTGCAGATGTGGTCACTGCCATTCTCAATAGGATCAGCTAGCTCTCACATCATACAGCTACAACACATCACCTGGCCTGCCATCTCTACTTAGTTAATTATTTAAAATTAATTAGTTTTGTTTTAGTTTCACAGTGTTCGCTGCACCAGTAAGTTTACTCTGTTATATACTCAAACAGATTCCAGCTTTGCCTTCCGACCCGCTCCCAGAGGATTTGGTGTCTAGGTGACCACCCCGAAAGATAACAAAGAGATGAGGAAAAAAAATGCAAATAGCTTACCTGCTCACCACACTTAGTCGTTATTATTAGGTTAGAGGAGGTGGAAGGGTGGGAGACACTACGCGTGTAGTGTCTCAGGTGTTAGTTAACTCCCAAATTTATTGGGTGGAAGC